GTTTTGTTCCCCCCTCGCCTCTTAGTCGCCTCTGCGTGGTCGCGGGTCGCGCTGATGGTTGTGTTGCTGGTGCTGGTGATGGTGTTGGTGCTGGTGCTGGTGCTGGTGCTGGTGCTGGTGATGTTCGGCAGGATGAAAACGCTGGTCGCGGCCCTGCCCAGTGATTCGCTGCTGGTGGTTCCCCCTCCCCGCCGTGGCGCCTCGCTTGGTAGCGCCGCGGAGCCCCGCCTCCCGGCCGCGCCCCTGCCGCGCCCCCTCCCCCCTCCCGCCGCGTGGAGCTGAGGTGCCCCTTCCCGGCGCCCCGGCCAGCCCGCCTCCACCTCAGTCTGACGACCGCCGGCGACCAGGTCGTGTCGTCCCACCGTGCGGCTCCGTGAGCAGCCTCCGAGTGCGTCCCGGTGCCAGTGACAGTGCCTGTGTGTGTGTATGTGTGTGCTTGTGTGAATGCCAGTGAAGTGCAGTGACAGGACGAGGTGTGTGTGGCGTCTTGGGCAGGTGGACTGCCATTACACTTAAAATTCGAATAGTGTATTGTGTGAGTTGTTGCGCTCGGCGTGAAGAGGCAAGTTTTGTCATTCGTCGGCCCATAATCCAGGATGCGGAGCTGAGCGACTCCTTCATCATCCCTCTCGCGTCGTCATTCCAGGTGAGTTGTCCACGTTTTGGCTCTTGACCCCTTTACCCTTTCACCCTGCTGGCTGCTCGGCTTCTCAGTCTGCCGCCCCCTGCCGGCACGCGCCTCCGGGTAGCAGCCCCCCCCCCCCTTCCCCACCGGCCCGGCGCCTCTGGGTGACAACGTGTCCCACGATAACGCAGCGAGTCAAATCGATCAATCTCTGTTAGTTGTGACGTGTTTAGAGGAGCTAATAAGGCTGGCGACCGCACCAAGATGCTCATTAAGGGCGTTCTTGTCATATCTCCAACATCCCAACACTTCGATCACGCGCTAGGGCTTGTGCCCCTGTATTTCCTTTCCATAGAACATGCCTGCATTTTAACGCGCTGATCAATCAAATACAAATATGTTTTCAAATGGAGCTCCCCTCGTGACCATGCTAATTGCGATGTTGACCGCATACCAAAGTACAACAGTAAGTAAATTAGGCATTTACGTTTACAATAAAATGTCTTAATGCCGTACTTACTCTTAAAAACTCCAAGTCTTTTAAAACACATTATGAATTGGATTGTTTTTATGTTTTTGTTTTTCGAATTAAGACAGCAATCTGTGCATGAACAGTATTTGAATGACGTTACAGTGTAGCATTAAACTCCGTTGAAATTGCGCTTAAAGGGTTGAGTTCGGACACCACCATTGTGCCGGAAGCGACTTGACGGCTCTCTCCTCCGTCAAGGCGGTGAGTGCACCAGAGGCCTACAGGAAACACAATTATGGCTGAGAGAATGGTGTACCGCGATATGGATGAGGCAACCAGACCCTTTTGAGAACCAAATACACAAAGACACGCGAGCTCTGTCGGACTGAACACAGACACGGCGCCAAAATGAGCATCCGCCTTCAATTGGGACTTCCCTGCCAAAGGTTTCGTTAAAATTCATACAATCCCTGCAATCACACCGATGTCGGGGCACGTCACTGTTGCTGACAGTGCGCGGTTGTGTAAAAGTCGAGTACGTAGTTTGCCGGTGCAAATGGCCACGCAATGGTCATCGGGTGACGGAAACGGCCGGCCATTCGCGATGTTCGGCTAAACGTTTGGCTCGTGTGGGCCGGCCTGGGCGGCGCTGCCCTGCTCTCCCCGGCCGCCTTTATTTTTTTGCGGCCTGCATTGTGATTGTATCTTACCTGGGCTCTGCGCCGGTTGTGCACCGGGGGGCTGCGCCGGGGCTGCGCCGGGGCTGCGCTAGCAGAGGCCTTGGCAAGGACCCCCCGCGGGGGTTGCATAGCCGGGGCCGGCCCGGGGCTGGGTGTCGCCATGCACTGTGCGAGCGAGACGGGCCACTTGTCACGACATTGGGCAATAATCGTAAATTCACTCGCTGCCATCGGCTCAGCGGGGCGAAGGCGCCACGGGTGAACCTCCCCCCCCCCCTTGTCTTAAAAACGCATTGAGGTGTAAATTTTCATAGAGCAAAAGGATCGGGGTAAAACGGGAAAAAGCTCACATAATTTGTGTCTCTCTCCTGTGTGCCGTTTTCTTCACTCTTTGCGGCCTATGGCCCAACCCTTCGCCCAAACATTGCACACAGTGGCCCTACCCACTTTTTTTTGGCCCTTTGGCCAGAAGTCAGTAGCCCAACCCCGCATGCCGAGCCCAACCCACCCTAGCCTGGTCCGGCCCGCCACGCCCTGCGAACAGGTAAAGTGTTTTAGTGAGATTGAGTCGTCGCCGGACCCGCTGTCCGGCCGAGCTCTGGGCCCCGGGGAGGATCGGGGGAAGTTCCAGGTACGATGAGGGACCGTACCAACTCTACGTGACCGCTTTTTGCCCTTCCCACCTCTCGTGATCTGTCTAACATAACCGTTGTATGGGATTCAAAATAGGGAGAGCACTTTTTTGTTTACCCACACCCTCTCCCCGAAAAAGAAAATCTGTCAGGAAGTCCTGGGTACGACCCTTTCATGGCGAACGCTATCTTACTCCAGTTGACACAATTCAATAATCCAAACTGCGTTATGTTCATAGAATGAAAGATAAATAAAAATAATAACAGAGTGATTGTTTGGAAAGCTATTACAACTTATTTTCACTTAATAAATAAAAAGTGCAGAGGAAGAAACCCCCCCTGCGAGTCCTGCTGCTCGCAGTCGCGGCTGGCTTGCTTGCATGCCTCGTTGTCGCCGTGGGCGGCGCATGCTCGACTCTGTGCGTCTGCGCTCCCCTGACGTTCGGCCATTCAGCCGCGGTGTCACCGTCACCCTCACGTCACGCCGCGGGCTCCTCGTCATCGGCGTCCTCCCATTGACGGCAGCCGGCCGTGTCGTGGGCCGGGGCCAGGGCCGGGCCCTATGGGCTGGCCGACAGGTAATTAGACGCCGGGGTGAAGAATTTTGGGAATGTATGGGGAGCCACCCCTGCTGGGCGGAAGGTCCGGAAGGGGACATTTTATGGAGGGGTCGCTACCTGTAATTAACCTGCGAGGTGACGTTGGTCTCGTCCGGGAGTGTGGCGCCGGGCCGGGCCGGGCCGGGGCGCGCGACACAGCTGGGGACAGAGGCGGGCCCGGCCCGGGGCCAGCACCCTCAAAAGGGACAAGTCTAGACTCTTGCGGCCCATTTTTATTCCCCGTAAACTGGGACGTGTATTACTCTTTCAAAAGTTTTGCCGTGGGCCGATTTATACCCCCCGAAAAGTACATCGAACATAAGGTGAATTTGAACTGGTTCGAGTCATGGTTTTCTGAAAAGGGGTATGATAAAGTGAGCATAGCTAAACATAAGGCGTTGTATAAAATTAAAATGTGTATTTATTCAATAAAAACAACTTTTTGGTGTCAGTCCTCTGCTTTTGTTTCTATCCTTGTGCCGTTAAATAATAGAAACCGCCTGAGTTGTTGAAACAGAACCCGGTGCAGAAATCCAAAGGGGGTAACAACTCCCGTAATTGACACCTGATTCAATTATTGCGTGTAATAGTTGCGATTGATGTAACACCGAAAATCGAAAATTACAGAACAAGTCAAAAATGCCTGAAAGGGCGAAATTTTGCGTGTAATAAGCTAAACTAGCCTAATAAAGCGTCGTTAAAGTCGTATGTACACCTAAATTCGGAGTTGTTAACGGTTGTTAACCCCTCGCAGAAACCAGTCCGAATGAGATTGTTTGCGATTTGATTGGAAGAACAGAAAAATGTACACAAACAAAATTATTGTCCTCATGTGAAAGCGAGTGGGCTAGCCTAGCGCCACCGGAAACTCCTGCCCCGTGACGAATGTGGTGGCCGATGGCCGTTTCTGCGTATTGTACGGCCGGAGCGCCGGGGCCGGGCCGGGGCCTGCCGGTGACAAGGGGCTCACTAAAAAGCCTCCTCTTTACTGCCTTTGTCTTCTCCAGTCAGTAAAATCGCAATAAATGCTCCGTGTTGACGCTGACGCTCCAAACTCAGGTCCCCTCCCCTGTCCCACGGCGCGGCGGCGGTGACCTCAATGCACGCCGGCAGTCATTCAATTCTCTGGAAGTTTCGAGCGAAAATATTCTTGTGTCGTCATTGATCCGGTGGGACCGACTCTTTTGCCCTGTCGCAGTGTCCATAGGGCAGTATCGCGCTTCCCGTCCACGCCGGCCCCTTCCGCCGCTGGCGGCCAGCGGCCAGGGCAGTGCGGGCGGGACGACGACGGCCTCGGACACCCCATTTATAAATCGGCCCAAATGAAAGACATGGCAGCGGACACTTCCTCACCCTAAAAGGCAATCAGGACCTCCGAATACGATCGCCGGAAATAGGGACGTTAGGCGGGACATGACAACGCCTTGAAACGCGGCGGCGGAACTCCCAGGAGGCGATCGTAGGGCTCCAGTCCGGACGTCCAGCCGACACTCCATGCTCCAGCGTGCTCTGGGGCACGCACTATAACCGAATGACTGAATGAATGAATGAATGACCGAATGACTGACTGACCGAATGACTAGATGACTGATTTAATGACTGAATGACTGCTGTGGAGGACGATACTTTGTGTGATGATATTAATCGTGATGCCTGAAAATTTTAGTGTCGTGTGTGGAATGGACTTTCAGAGCGGTGATTTTAACCGTTTGAAGTAATTTCAAGGACCTTAAGTTTTAATGTGGTCGTTGGAAGTAGCTAGCTGTCCAGCTATTTGAAATAAAATACTGAGGAATACGCCTGTATGGCGAGACAACGGTGTATTTACGCTCACGCTCCATATGCTAGACTGGAAGAATTTCGGCTGCACTTAGTGTCAATAATTATTCTGTAATTAATTAAACACACATGCGAGGTGCCATAGATCGGAGCCGATGCTGTCGCAATAATTTCATTCGTGCCCCGTTTTCTATCTAATCCAACTGGGGGA